AACAAAAAATCCTCACCACTGGACCAATAATACCACCATGATAAATGGAGGAAAGATTGAAGTCCAAGACTTCATTTTGCTTGGATCCACTGTCAACACTCATGGAAACAGCATTCAAGAAATCAAACAAGGTATTGTATTAGGCAAATCTGCTCCACAGACCTCTTTAAAGTGGTCAAAAGCAAAGATGTCAGTTTGAGGATTAAGGTGCACCTCACCCAAACTATTGTATTTTCAGTAGCCTCATATGCATGTGAAAGTTGAACAGTGAACAAGGAAAACTGCGAAAGAATTGGTGCATTTGAGTTTTGGTGCTGGAGAAGAATATTTAAAACTATCATGAACTGCCAAAAGAACAAATAAATCTGTGTTGGAAGAACTACAGCCAGAATGTTCCTTAGAAACCAGGATGGTAAGTGACATCAGGTGGGCCCAGTTCTGGAGAAGGACGTCACGTTTGGTAAAGTAACTGGTCAGTGCGAAAGAGATGGATTGACACAGTGACAGCAGCAATGGGCTCAAACATAGTAACAATTTTGAAGATGGTGTAGGATTGGGTAGTGTTTCGTTATGTTGTGCATAGGGTTGCTATGAGATGCTAAATTTGCAACAGTAAGCTTCCATTTAATGCTGAGGCTTTGTGCGAGCTATTTTCGGCATCGAAGGAACCCTGATAATGCAGTGGTTAAAAGCTTAGTTGTTAACAAGAAATATTGGTAGTTTGAACCCCCCAACGACTCCAGATGTGGCAATCTACTCTTTAAAGATTAATGTCTTTGTTGTTGTTAAGTGCTGTTGAGTTGGTTCTGAACTGACTCAGTGACCCTGTGTAGGATTTCCAAGGAGCAGTTGGTGAGCTTGAACCCAACTTTGTGGTTCAGACCAACTTTGCAGTCCAGTGCATTATCCCACAGCACCACACCAGGACTCCTCAAAGTCTAAGTGGTGGGGCATTTCTACTTTGTATTGTGAGTCATGATTGACTTGACAGCACACACCAACATTTTAGAGGCTCAGAAACTTTAGACTTACTTCATTTTTTGGACTGTGTTCTAGGAATTGATAGAAGAAAAAAAAAGGAAGTCGTTTACATTTTGAAAACATCTTTGTTGTTGTTGTTGTTGTTGTTAGGTGCCATGGAGTCAGTACTGACCCATAGTGACCTTATGCACAGCAGACTGAAACGGATCTGTTGGTTCTTTTGGCAGCCCATGGGACTTTCAACATTACAAACATTACACACACATAATCTAATGTATGTGATTGTGATCATGGTCATTTACAACTTTTTAAAAAAGTAATCTGAAACCAATAAAAGGGAAGTTAACTGCAAGTATCCTTTGCACAAGACTGTTCCATACATCTCACTTAATTTTAACAATTTATGAGTTAGCCATTATTCCCGTTTTAGAGATAAGATAAAACTGAAATCCACAAATATCAAATAGTTTTTTTATCTAATAAACGACAGAGCCAGGGTGGAGCAGTTGCACCAAAACATCTAGTTGAGTTTATCAAGAATTAAAGTTATATGTTAGGGAGTTTAATTAAATTACCTTTTATGTTATTGTTTCAAATCACTTTTTTTTTTCTTTATTATTGTGAACTGAGTGATAGTTTACTTGGGAGGACATTGGCTTTACACCATTGTTTCATTGCAGTGATTATAGTCGCCTCCGTGCATCATCATTCAACAGTATTTGCTTCCATTCCCTCTGGTTTTTTGGTGTATTTTTTGGGGGGAGGGAGGAGAGGGGTGTACACAAAAACACTCAGGAATATATAATAATTTGAACAACCCAAGGGCACGTTCTGCAAGCCTGCCTTCTGGCCACCAGCTCTTAGTCTCTCTTTCTATGAATCTAGAGTCCTCAGCTACTCCCTCTTTCCATGCCCTCATCTCTGCCTCTATCTCTGGTGTCGCTGCTTCTCTGGATATGGTCTTGCATTCTGCTTGTGCTCTTCTGTCTTGGTGGTCCTAGGGTCCTCTGTTTTTTCTGGACTGTAAGATTAACTACTCCCCAGTTTTGTTACGAAGCTTCTACCTTTACAGTTGTGACAGTCACAATTAGTCATGATAACAGTTACTCACTGTTGAATGATAAGAATCTTATCCCCATCTCTTTTCACCAGACCCATCTAGACAAGATGAAAACTGTTCAATGGGGACTCTGTCTTCCCCCCCACACTCTTAAACTAAACTCCCCCTTGAAAACTTGTAAGCCAGTCACTTCGTGCCTTTATCGCCTCCTCATTTTAGGTTAAAATCACTTTTTCATAGAGTTGTCAATGACAAGGAGAACATATACTAGATTATATGTATGTGTAATATTTTTAAAATATAAATGATCCCCATTTGTCTTCAATTACTAGAATATATTCTGGAAATTATTGTTTTAAATCTAACTTTCTTTTGTTTTCCCAGTGCCACATCTTGATTGCTTCTTTGTCACTCTTAACATGCCACCTTTATAATACACTAAATTTTCATTTGTTAGTTTGTTTCTGAGCTCATTTTCTTACCCATTGATCTTTTTAAAATTGTTTCTGCCCCAGTTCCACCCTGCTTTAAATAATTAACTAAGATCTATTTCTAAAATTGTGTTTTAGGTGAAAAAGAGTCTCAAGTGGACATGCAAAGCTTGTGGTGAGAAGCAGTCCTTTTTGCGGGTAAGTCTTGAGAAACAAGACACCTAAATGACCAGTGCAGAAAGCAGGAGGGACTCATCACCGGAGGAATTTGTTCTGAGAGTCCCAGCATTCCGAAGGTGGGATAGTTCTTCTCATACAACGCTCACTGGATACAGAATATAAAGAGCTCCCACTGGCTAGATTATTGTTCCTTCAGGAAGTGAAATGACAGAGCATTTTATTTGTTCAGCAAGTATACGCTAAGTACTTCCTAGGTGTCCTGGTGTGGTGCTGTGGGATAAAGCACTGGACCACAAGACTGGTTTGAACCACAAGGTCGGTGGTCCAAACTCACCAGCCATTCCTATATAGGGTTGCTGTGAGTCAGAACCAACTCGATGGCACTAACAACAACAAGGCACAGAAAAAACCATAAACAATAAAAGGTATCCTTGCCCTTACGTATCTGCTGTTATGTGTGGGGAAGAGAAACTAACACATACACACACAAACCTACACGTTATTTAAAATTAGACCATGCAATGAAGCAAAAGTGTAGGGAGCTGTCAGAAAGAAACAGAATCAGACCCACTGAGGGTGGGAAGAGGGCTGGTGGTGATGCAGAGTGTGGGGGAAGAGAGTGGAATCAAGAAACAGGTTGTTGGGAGGGACTCGGGAGCCTGTAGATTAGAGGAGCACGTTGTAAATGATTTTCTTGCCTCACCTCACCTCTTGGACATTTCTTCAAGCCCATCCATGCTCAATTCCTTGACATTCTCTATACCACAAACTGCACCACATCCTTTGCTTTATCCAACTACTCAGTCACATGAGGCTGCTTCCTCTCCAGCTCATCTCATCATTGCCCTCCTCCTTCAGCCACAGCTGACCTTGTAATAATACAGATCAGCTCCTCTGTGGGGCCTTTGTGCTTCTTGGGGCTTTCCCTGACTCTTCACATTATCCTAGTTGGGAACTGTGGACTGCTATGTTTATGTGAGCACTGCCTCTCTCTCTTATTTAAAAATAAGCTCCATGGGAGCAGAGGCATGACCTGATTTGTTCACTGATGTACCCTCAGCAATTAGCATGGTACCTGGCATATAATAAATGCTCAATTAATATTTGTTGAATGAATAAATAACTAGTCCCACATTGATGGCATTTAGATTGTGTTTTAGTCTTCTCTGTTATAAACAACACTGCAGTGAAGCTTCTTCTAAATACCTTTTTAATTTACTTAGCCACTTATTTCCTCAGTATGTTGTTAAGTGCCATTGAGTTGGTTCTGACTCATAGCAACACAATGTGCACCAAAACAAAATACTGCCCGCTCCTGCACTCTCTTCACAATCATTACTATACTCAAACCTAGTGTTGCAGCCACTGTGTCAATTCATTTCATTGTGGGCCTTCCTTATTTTCACCGACCTTCTACTTCACCAAGCATGATGTCCTTTTTTCAGGGACTGGTCCTTCCTGAAAACATGTCCAAGTCTCACAATCTTCCCTACCAAGGAGCATTCTGGCTGTCCTCCCAAGACAGTTTTGTTTGTTGTTTCAGAAATCCATGGTATATTCAATATTCTTTGCCAGCATAATTCAAATATATCACTTTTGTCTTCCTTACTCTTTGTCCAGCTTTTGCATACATATGAGATGATTGAAAATACCATGGCTTGGGTCAGGCACGCTTATTACTCAAAGTGACATCTTTGTTCTTTAAAGAGATCTGTTGCAGCAGAATTGTCTTTATACAGTCCATCATTTGATTTCTTGAATGCCACTTTCATGAGCATTGATTGTGGGTCCAAGCAAAATGAGTCCTTTACAACTTCAATCTTTTCTCCATTTATTGTGATGTTATTTATTGGTCCAGTTGTGAGGAATTTTACATTGTTTTCTTTACATTGAGGTACTGTCCATACTGAAAGCTGCAGTCTGTGATCCTCAAGTCTTTACTTCCAATAAATCTGCATATCGTAGGTTGATAATGAATGAATCTTCTCTACTTGGTGCCATGTTCTTTTTCATATATCCCAGTTTCTCAGATTATTTGCTCAGTATACAGATTGGATAAGTATCATTAAAAGGATATAGCTTTGACACTTACCTTTCCTGATTTTAAACCATTCGGTATCCCCTTGTTCTGTGCTAACGACTGCCTCTTGGTCTGTACACAGGTTCCACATGAGTACAAAAGTGATCTGGAATTCCCATTTCTTGTAAGATAATCCATAGTTTGTTATGATCTACACAGTTGAATGCCTTTTCATCATCAATGAAACTCAAGTAAACGTCTTTCTGGTAGTCTCTGCTTTCAGCCAGTGTGCATCTAACTTCATTAATGATGTCCTTCATTCCACATCCTCTTCTAAAAGTTGACTTTCTGGCAGTTCCTTCACAGTTGATGTACCACTACAGCTGTTTTTTAATTCTTTTCAGCAAAATTTGCTTGTATGTAATATTAATGATATTGTTAGATAATTTCCACGTTCTGCTAGATCACCTTTCTTTGGAACGGGTACAAATATGGATTCTTTCAGTTCATTGGCCAGCTAGCTGTCTTCCAAATTTCTTGGCATAGACGAGTGAGCATTTCCAGCATTGTATTCATTTGTTGAAAAATTATAATTGGCACTTTGTCAATTCCTGGAGCCTGTTTTTCATGTCTTCAGCGCAGCTTGGACTGTCTTCAATACTCTTCATTTGTTAATCAAATGTCTGCACATCAACCAATTCCTTTTAATACAATGACTCTTGTGTTCATTGTTGAATATTTTACCTATTTTACCTATGTTGTTGTTGCTGTAAAGTGATATTGAGTAGGTTCCGACTCATAGCAACCCTATATAGGGTTACGGGGGAGCTGCTGGTGAGTTTGAACTGCCAACCTTGCAATTCAAACTGACCTTTTGGTCCAGTGCTTATCCTACAGCACCACACCTGGACTTCATTTTGCCCATAGAATCTTTCAATATTGCAACATGAGACTTGCCAAGCATGTTTTTCCCTTCTGGTTTTCTAACTAGGTCTTTGCACATTTCATTATAATACTTTACCTTGTCTTCTCAAGCCATCCTTTAAAATCTTATGTTCAGCTTTTTTTAGTTCATCATTTTCTTCCATTCTATTTAACTACTCTATGTTGAAGAGTAAGTTTCATAGTCTCTCATTTTTAATTGTGAATTAAGTGAAGGTTTACAGACAAGATCTTCAGTTTTACATTCAACAGATTCACAGTCTCTGCTGCTGTCTACTTTGGTCTTTTCTTTCTCTCCTGTCTTTTTAATAACCTTTTGCTTTCTTAGTGTATGATGTCCACGAAGTCATCCCACAACTTACCTGGTCTTTGGTCATTAGTATTCAGTGCATCTAATCAGTTCTTTTTTTTCCCAATCTATTCTTAAGATAATTTCTGAATTTTGGTGGAACATATTTAATATTTTACTTTGACTCTTGTGGACTTGTTTTAATTTGCTTCAGCTTAAACCTGAATTTGTTTATGAGCAATTGATGGTCTCGTCTAAAGTCAGCTCCTGGCTTTGTTCTGACTGATGTTATTAAGCTTCTCCATCAGATATAGTCGAGTTGATTCCTGTGTATGCCATCCAGTGAAGTTCACGTATGTAGTTGCCATTTATGTTGTTGATAAAAAGGTATTTGCAATGAATAAGTCATTCGTCTTTCAAAATGCTTATCACCAAACTTTGTTTTCTAACTATTGATCCTTCCTCTCTGTTTCTAATTTTCATATCCCAGTCACCAGTAATTATCAGTGCTAAAAATTTCTTAATTTAACAATACCATCTAGAGGCAAAATTCACATTTTTGTGTTATTTCTTTGTTGTTATTAAGTGCTTTTGAGTTAGTTTTGAATCATAGTGACCCTGTACAGGGTTTCCAAGGAGCAACTGGTAGGTATGAACCACCAACATTGCAGTTAGCAGTCTGTTGCTTATCCTACAGTGCCATACCAGGAGTGCATTATTACTTTGTGGACTACATTATTACTTTTAAAAGGCCTTTTTTATTCCAGTCAAAGTAAATTTATTATTATTTTTACCCTATGGAGTACTTTAAATTAACTATCTAAAAGTTCCAGGACTCCTGAGTGGCACTCTAAGATCAACACTGGCCTGTGAACCACAAGGTTGGCAGTTCAAACCTACCAGCCACTCCTCAGAAACCCTATACAGGGTTGCTATGAACCGACTTGATGTCAATAAATAACATCTAAATGTTAACAGGGAGTAGCCAAATTGCCAATGAATCTTATGTAAATTTTATGGGAGACCAAAACCAATGTTTCTTAAAAATAAGATTAAACAGAGTTATGTTTCCCCTGATGGTATTCTGTGTTGCAGCAGCATAACATTCTCAAAACAGTATGACACAAAACAAAATTACACACATGCAAAAGTAGTTACATAGATGTGGCACTGTGGGTTAATGCACTGGACTGCAAGGTTGGTTTGAACCACAAGGTCCATGGTTCAAGCTCTGCAGCCACTTCTTGGAAACCCTATACAGGGTCACTATGAGTTGGAAATGACTCGACGGCACTTAACAACAACAATAACAACAACCTATCTTAAAGTTACTGAGAATTTTCTGCATAAACATGTATTTACAAAACAGTTTGGGAAATGCTGCCCATTCCCCCTGTCATTTCTTGCAAGACTCCTGATGATTTCAAAACCCATGCACCATAATCTGACAGCAAAACGTACCAGTGAAGCACAGTGTTGGCTTTTTCAGCAAGTGGCTCAAGATCCCCCATGCCCATGGTTCCCCAACCAAGGTGTACACAAATGATTCCAAACTTTCTTAGAAAATAAAATTACTTCCCTTAAAATGTCCACACAGAGACCGAATGTTGGAATCCTGACCAAAATTGCCCACTAGAGAGCAGACGAAAAGTATAAACAGAATGAACAGATGAAAACTAGAAACAGAATGTTATGGCGAGAAACACATAAATAAGACGTAAGACTTAATATTAGTTAGAAAAATCTCCAAAACATGGGTTCAAAACT